CCCCTCGGCGTCTCCTCCCTGGCAGGCAAAGCTTCCTGCTGGCTGAACTTGGACGTGGAGCTGCTGCGGGAGCAGTTCTTCACCATCCGGAGCAAGAGGCGGAAGCTGGGTGAGGAGCCTGGGGGGGGCCAAGCCCAGGACGCCTGGATTCCCTCCAGCTCGGCACTGGGAGCACTGTCTCCCTGCGAGCCCCTGTCCTAGGGAGGGAGGGTGGGTGTGAAATGGGGTGGGGGCTGTAGCCGCCTGTTCCAGCACCGCAGGGCCCCCCTCAATCTCCTGCCCTCGGGTGGGGGCTCGTGTTCCCCTCTCACCCGGGCGTGTCGTCCCCCCCCAGAGCTGCGGCACCGAGCGTCACCCTGGCAGAGGAACCTGGGCTACCCCCTGGCCATGCTGGGCCTCCTGGCGCTGACGGTGAGTGGCCCTGGGCTCCCGAGGGAGCTGGGGGTCGTCCTCATCCCACCCCCAGCTGCCCTCACTCCCTCCCTGCTCCTCCCAGGGCATCTCCGTGCTCATTGTCTGCTTCCACGTCCTGGAGCTGCTGCTGGATGATGCTGCGATGCCACGGGGTATCCAGGTACCCGGGCAGGGGGACGGGGGCAGTGACATTGTCCCACGCCAGCCCGGAGACCACTGCTCCTCCAACACATGTCCTCTCCCGGCAGGATGCGTCCCTGGGTCAGGTCTCCTTCTCCATCTTTGGTTCCTTCGGAGCTGCCCTGCAGGTCGTCCTCATCTTGTATCCTTCAGGCAGTCACTCGTGTCCCCAGCGCTGTCCCCAAGGCCATCCCACCCCGTTCTCCTTAACGCCCCTTGCAGCTACCTGATGGTCTCCTCCGTTGTGGGTTTCTACAGCTCCCCCCTCTTCACCCGGCTGCTCCCCGAGCGGCAGGACACCCCCCTCACCAAGGTGGGAGCACCGGGCTGGGGCTGGAGGGGTCCCGGACCCCCCCTCGGGGTACAGGATCCCCGGTCCCTGCAGTGCACAGTTGTGTGTGTCCCTGTGTGGTGTCCCCACGCGAGGGCACCGCGTCTCCCCCCACGTCCCACTGCCTCTGGGGTCCCAGTGGGTATCCGGTACTGGGGAGCCCATTCCCCAGCCAGCGGTGGGGACACACCAGGCCCTGGGACAGCGCTGTGCCCCCCCCAACAAGTGCTCCTTCCCCCCAGATCATCGGGAACTGCGTCTCCCTGCTGGTGCTCAGCTCAGCCCTGCCGGTCTTCTCCAGGACGCTGGGTGAGCACTGGGCGGGGGTCAGGGTGCCCCAAGGGACTGGGGGTCCCCAAGGACAGGGATGCCCTGACCGCCCACCCCCCCACGCACCCAGGGATCACCCGTTTTGACCTCCTGGGGGACTTTGGCCGCTTCAACTGGCTGGGGAACTTCTACATCGTCTTCCTCTACAACATGGGCTTCGCGGGGCTCACCACCCTGTGCCTGGTGAAGAGGGTCTCCTGGGCCGTCCAGGCCGAGCTCATCCGCGCCTTCGGTGAGGAGGGGGACACGGGGACAGGTGCTGGGGCGCGTGTCCCCCTCCTCGGGCTCTCACGCTCTCCCTTCGCCCCAGGTCTGCACAAGCTGCCGCTGCCCGTGACGCGCTCCCGGCCCCTCGGCAAGCCCTCCTAGGGCTGGGGGA